TTTTGCCCCCAAAAATGTCGATAACCCCCCCCCCACACACACAGGCATCGTTTCAACCAGACAGCCATTTGTAATCCATAGGGGGGGCGCAGAAAATGTTTGGAAACCACTGGGGGGGCGCAGAAGAAAAAGTTTGGGAACCACTGCAGTAATCCATGTAGCACTGACTTCCCGTTAGTTAGCTGAACCAGCTGCTCCCCTTATAAAAATTTGAGGTTCCCTCAGAAATGTAGCACACTTTACATTATACTCTACCCTTTAACATAGCCAAAACACATATAAATGCAATTTTCAACTGAAGATGCTGTTGCCACTGTCCTGCTTGCTGTCTTGTCCCACCTGGCGCACCGAGATACCTCTGCACGCATCCTCTTTATTAATTTCAGCTCTGCATTCAGTACCATTCTCCCTGACAGATAAGTGCATAATCTGGCAGACCTGGGAATTCCCTCTTCCATCTGTTGCTGTCCAGGACTTCCTGACAGATCGCAAGCAAAGAGTCAGAATGGGCCCCCACACTTCTTCAGCCATTGACATCAGCACTAGCTCTCCCCAGGGCTGTGTGTTGAGCCCTCTGCTCTTACGCTGTACACACACGATTGTGTTTCAGTCCATCAAAGTACCACCCTTGTTAAATTTACAGACAACACAACTGTAGTGGGCCTCATCTCAGAGGGGGATGAGTCTGCCTACAGGAACGAGGTGGAGCGAATTACAGCATGGTGCACAGACAACCTGATCCTAAACACAGCCAAGACCAAGGAGATCATAATGGATTTTAGGAGAAGGAAAAGAGACATTGAACCACTAAACATCTGCGTAGACCCTGTGGAGAGGATGTCAAACTTCCGTTTCCTGGGAGTTCAGATCATGGATAACCTGGCCTGAGATGTAAACACAGCAGAACTGGCAAAGAAGGCCCAGCAGAGGATCTATTTCCTGAGAGTCCTCAGGAAGAACAACATTTCTCAAAAACTGCTGGTGTCCTTCTCGATGTTCTATTGAAAGTATCATCTGCTATTGTCTCTGTGTGTGGTTCCCCAGCTGCACAGCAGCACAGAGGAAGACTCTCCAGAAAATCATGAAATCTGCTGAGAAGGCCATCGGCTGCTCTCTGCCTTGTCTCGAAGATCTCCACAGGTTCCACTGCCTCAGGAAAGCCAGGAATATTTTTAAAAGACTCCTCACACCCCAGTCACAATTTGTTCCAACTGCTGCAGTTGGAACAAATTGGCTGCAGATACAGGAGCATTAAAGCAAGAACAAACAGACTGAAGAACAGTTTATACCTGGTAGCCATAAGAGCATTAAATACCCTGAAGCACTATTTTTTCACCAATTTTGCTATAATCCATGTAACTTATTGCATGGCTCTATAATGACAATAAAGATTATTGTTATTGTTATTGTTATTTAATTCTCTTGATCATTGAATCACTCTTCTTTCAGCAGTCAGCAATAATGTCCATCCACCAGTCTCTATGGTAAGCAACTGTCAAGATCTCTGATGGGTGGTGTCTGTCTTCAAAAACTATCCCTGCATCAGCTTTAATTCAGTCATTCATCATAACATTAGAAAATCCTGCAGCAGGCCCACAATGTTGCTATGGGAGTGGTCAAAAACAAAAACACAGCAGTTGAGTACTTGTAGGTGTACATGCAGAGTGTGTGAGCTGTAAATAAGCCTTTGTTTATCCAGGAGACAAACACTAGAGGAAGGAAGCACTGTTGTTTCCTCCAAGCTATGCCCAGAAAACAGCTCTACTGCTGTTACTTGTGCTTTTGATTGTGTCTGCATGACCTTATCACGAGATTGATCAAGCTGCTCTCATATAGACTTCTACAATGTCATATAACAGCAGGGGATGTCTTTGATCCTGGAGACCATCTAAGTGTTACTTCCCCAACCCAGAAATGATGCTTCTTTCTCTGCATCAAATAACAACCCCCTTTCCTTAGCAATAGACAAATGGCAAGACCATCTGTGTTAGGCTCCACACATCCTTGGTGCATAACAATCAAGGATTCACACCTATAGTAAAATCAAGCCTCTCTTCTCTTTGTTGGGAACAGCCAGAGATGGTGACAACCTGCTGCTATATCATCTGCTGACCAGAACCTATAAAAGGAAGCTAGAATCCACTGTTAATTGGAGCAGACTTGACAGACTCCTTTGACGCTGTACTTTTGTTCTCACCTTGCAAGTTTTTAATACATTTCTTATTTTCTTCTCACCCAGACTTTTGTTAAAGTATTTTTTCCACAACACTCTATTACTTCATGGTTTAAAAAGGCGTATAACTTAAGGGGAGAGACATGAAAAAGATATGTCCCCTAGGGGAGGCATAGCAGAAAATAATTGAATGACACAGAAATTACAAATGATGAATATTTCCCTAATGACTTTGATGGAACTGGTATTTAGCTGGTTTATTAAAATGTGGAGGAGCCTTTCACTTGGTCATACATAAGCTAAAAATGAATGCTGAAACAGGACTATAAAGTTAACTACATTTACATCTCTATGAGGTATCAAAACAATTGTAACTACGCAGTCTGCTACCTTGAGGCTTTGGAGGGCCGACTCTGGTGGGTACACAATGAAGTGGCGCAAAGTGAAGCCGAAACCTTGTGAGTCCTTCTGGAGAACAATGGTCCGTGGGCCTTGCTGAGACATGGCTGCCACTTCAGTTGATGGCAGCTGGTTGCTTCTGTTTTTGTCCGATGACACAATCCTATCATTCTGGCCTTTAGTCTACAAAACAGAAACCAGAACAACAATAAAACATTTTACTTTCCACTCATTCTTAAACAAACACTGAAAAGCTGTTACCATGTGAACATTAGAACTTTCACGAGACCCAAGTTGTTCTGTGGAACTGTGGATTCAGTCACAGCTTAAAAATGTAACAGAAATGTGACTAGCTGGAAGTGGGTGGGTTCTCATCATTCACTTCTGACTCTGCCCAGATATGGCCAGGGCAGAAATCCACCCAACGCAGGAATTGTTACTTCCTCCCTGCACAGTGGACCATCAAACTCGCCCATAATCCCATTTATTACATCCACCCAAATGAGTGGGGAGTTACAAACTCAATCTATAAATAAAAATCCTGGAACAACAGGAACTATCTGAACTCAAGGACACAAATGTGGAAAATACTGAGAACAATGGTAAAAGAAGTTGTTAGGTGATATTGATGCATTGAGAATTATTCTATTTCTGATTGACATTTTCTTTAACTGAGTCATTTTTTTGTGCTGTATTTCTTATTGCCTCTTGTCCAGGGCTCTTGAAAAAGTGTTTTTTTTTTAACCTGGCAAAACAAAGGTTAAAAAAACAAAAACAAAAAAAAACAATTGCTGTTTGGAGTTTTAGTTGAAAGTCACTTGCATAGGGATTGTTCTAAACTTTGTTGCTTTAGCTGTAAAGTTAGGATATTAAGTTAATAAACTGCATTATCATTAAAATAGAATAGTTTGGCTTTTCTTTGGTCTGGGTTCCCAGCTTATTAACAATATGAAATTGACCTAAAAAATTACTCTGAAAATTACTGTCAAAGTTTGACCTACTCCTTGGCTTCAAATATTGCACTGATTAAAGACGACATAACTAACGTATAACTTTTTAAAATGTATTCACTTATTACAAGGACGATGCATATTAGTAGCATTTCTGTAAATAAGAAGGCCGATTTTTCAGCTGCAGTTCCTAGACAGACGGTAAAAGACATGAATAAAAGTACTCCCTATTTAACCCAGAAAAGGATTGCTTTAGTTTATTAGTAATATTAGAAATTGTGGAGTACGCACTATTTAGATCAATATTATACAGCACAGAAATGGAATTAGAATTAGAATTAGAATTACAATAGGCCTTCGCAGCGCTTAGCTGCTCGGGCCTAATAACTACATACTTAGAATCCAGAAATACTTAACAGGATCAGTCACTACTTAATTACTTTTATCTGACTACTTTTTAGAAACTGTACCTACTCACTTTACACCAGAAAAGGATTTAGATGAGTCATTTTTCTTTCTTTTTCTTCTTCTTCTTTCCTTTGGTTTGTTATTTTGTTTGTATTTCCGTTTAACTCATGTAAAGCACTTTGAATTGCCTTGTTGCTAAAAATGTGCTATATACATAAAATTACCTTACCTTACCTTACCTAAAAATGCGTAATTATATGAACAAAATAAGAAATACAATACACTTATTAAAATAGATTATGAAACTCAAATGCACATTAGTGCCCTGTCCCTACAACCTTTGTTCTATGTTTCAGTAGCAGTACATGAGATCAAATATAACTTGATGACATGCTTGATATTTTTCAAACAAAAATGTGAAATTAGTAACAGTACAAAATTATAACGTTTGTTGTCATATCACTATTGACTTATTGCCTTACCCCTGACATATAAATTTGATGATTATTCAAAATCTTTGTTATGGTCCCTTGTTTGGATTTATAGTTTCTGTTTTCTCTTCTTTAATTTAATTTCTTTCTTGTTTTTCCTCATCTGTTGCCATTTTAGTTATTTTGAATGTTCAGTTGAGACACATTTGTTTGTGTTTTGTGATTTGCTTATTTAGGCCTAACCCTACCCTGGGATGCAGTTAAAACAACAGAGTTTTCATATATGTACAGGGATCGTGGCCAAGTGGTGAATTTGGGGTACTCTTAAAATAAAAAAGGTCAATTGGTACCAAATTTGGCATGAGTGATCCTGGTTGGATGCCTGACGATCCTATATCATCATAGTATGATGTCATAACCCCTGCCCCTCAGAACAGGAAGTGACTTTTTTTTTTCTTCGAAAGTGCCATCTCTGACCCCCTTTATCTAATCAAGATAATGTTGTGTCAGAAGACAGATAACTAGTTGGTCTCACTTGCTTTAAAGTCCAGAGTTACACTGTTGCCATACTTTTGGCTCTAAATTCCACATATTTCAGTTGAGCTTCACCAAACTCACTGATCGGTCCTTGTCCACCCGAACGTAAATGCAGTCCAATATTTGGTGGGTGTGGCCAAATTCCTCCACAGCACCCCCTAGAATCTTTAAAAAGAAAAAAAAATTGGTAACACTTTATTTGAAGGGGGGTGAATAAGACTGTCATGACACTGTCATAAACATGACATAATACATGTCATGAATATGAATAAGCCTTCATGAATATTTATGACTGTTGTCATAAAGCGTCATTCGGTAAATTATGACACTTTTAATACAAAGTTGACATTATTCAAAATGTCTTTGTTATGACAACTTGACATTAACCAATAAATCATCACTGTTACAAATTTGTTATAAAAGTATTACTGATTTCACTTTAAAAATTAGATAACTTTATGTTATTAAAGGTAAAGTTTAAACAGTAATGATTTCTTGGGTTAGGGTTAGGGTCTTATTCAGTCTTATTCACCCCCCTTCAAATAAAGTGTTACCAAAAAATCATCCCAGAACCATGCTTTGACCAACAATAATGAAATTCAGTACACGTACATCTTGACAGAAGGTTAAAAAAAAAGTCCCTGGGAGCCAAGATCTAAACCCATAAGAAAGTCGGCCATTTTGGATCAGAGAGCCAAGATCTAAACCCATAAGGAAGTGGGCCATTTTGGATCAGAGTCGCCATTTTGTCTATGTTACACATGTTGTAGCTGAACAAACTCATCCTACAGCTTTTGAGATCCATGCTTCAAAATGAGTAGGCACATTCTTGAGGCATTGAAGGTCAAAAGTTATCAAAGGATTTTTCATACATCAAAGCATGTGGGTGTTGCCAAGCCTAAAATCTGACCATTCGTCATGAAATATTAAGATGGAATAAATTCCCCACATAAGCTTCCAGCCCCATCAAACTTTCTTTGTGTCATCACAGACCAGAGCTTATCACATTCACATGGTCAATTTGTGACATCACTTTAGCCCCGCCCCCTTTCAGGAGCGGGAGGAAGTCACCCGTTTTCTCGCAGTTTTTCTCCTTTTTCCTCTGTGTTCATGTAGATTTTAACCTGTGTTTAATGACATAGAACAACATGATGGTAAATCCTTCTGTAAGCACTGGCTGCTGGCAGGAACATGTGAGCGTGGCTGAATGGAAATTCTAATCCCTCGCCGTCCACATACGGTTGTCTCTAAATCATACATGCATCATCCAATTTGCACTAAATTTGTTATGATTGACCTTTGTTAACCTCTAAGGAGCCTAATAGCATTATATTGTAAATTGACTCCACTGTGCCCCCTAGGCTAACCCAACAGCTATATCACCTTAATGCACCAGTGGATCTGCACTAGATTTTTTGTGCATCATCAGGGAGCACTGCTAAAGAAATCAGTCTGTATCTGTCCCTAATTTTTTTTAATGTTTTTGTGAGAATCATGCACATGGGAGGGGCCCAACAGGGTCTGAGAGGGGGCGTTTTAAATTGTATATTTGCATTAAATTTATTTATCAATATTATTGCAATAATTCCTATATAAATGTTACTAAAGTGACTGAATTTAATAGAATTTATTTGCATTTAGCTTCCTTCTGTCTGCACCCTTGGGCTGCTCGCAGACAGTTTCACCACGTTAGTGCGAACTCAATTACATTCCAATTCTAAAATGCTTTATTTCAAACAGAAATTAAATTACATCACATATAAAAACCATAACATGTTATTTGTATCATGGTGAGGCCACTGGGTGTCACTGGGAACCTATTGCATGTGAGAGGGTGTTAGATGGGAAAGCTGAAAGTTTATTGACCGCTTATCGGTGCAGCTTTTTGAATCAGTATTGTTGACTTTTTTTTTTTAATTATGTAAAGAACTGATGGACACTCTCTTTGGAGCAATAAATGGGCAAACTCCAAAACCTCTTTCCTCATGTGACAAAGCGGTTCAGTTTATGTTCACCACTTGTCCCTTATTTTCTCATTC